CTGAACCGCATTACCGCTGATACGAGAGAAACGCTCGCAAAACTGTTGGCGTAAAACGCGAGAGCAGTTGTCGCGTGATACGAAAAGGAAGAAGAAGACTCATCTTGTCGCGTATATGTTAATGCGTTTCGTTTCCTTCTTCTTTTTTATTACATCTTCGCACGTTGATTTTATCTCTTTTAATGTCGGATCTATTTATTATAATTTCTTAAAATTATTGCAATTATTCCAATTGGAGAATATCTCTATAATTATTTTATATCTACCTTGTCAAAAAATAAGCATCCTTTCCCCTTATCGTTAGCAGAATTTTCGAAAGAGAAATTGCATTGTTTTCAAGATTTTTTAAATATATACTATTGCTGACTTTTTATTTATTTATTTATTTTTTTTTTTGTATAAATGATTCTTCGTCTAAAAAGTACTTTAGTAATTTTGCTATAATTAAATCTAATATTTTTATTTTTATAATGATATACATAGAAACTTCTTTTATAGCACCCTCGCTTATCAGTCCTCATCGCGCGAACCTTTCTAATTTTTAATATTTAATATTTTTATTACTAGATTTTTCAAATTATAAAAAGAAATTACACGCGCTTTGTGTCACTTATTTAAGTTAAATATAGCTCCTGAGGGAGAGGGATTGTCGACAGTATTTCGCTCAAGTGGCAAACATTAACCGGAACTCGGACGCTATCGACGTCGGAACTGCGCACCGCGTGTTCGTCGGCGACAAAGGCGGAAACGCGTCGCGGTCAACGGAGAGGATAACAGACGTTGAATCGAAGATTGGAACACTTTGCACGAGCGTTGGCGTGAACCGGTTTTGCGATCGGTTAACGGCTGATTAAAACTTTAGACGAGACCGATGAGATCGGAAAGGGATTCTTCGAAGAATACATTGCCTTCTCCTCTTCCCTCCCACCGTTTTATACGTTTACGTAGAATATTTTATAAATACCGGAATTTTTTCCTTCCTTAATCGATTTAGACTCGATTTTTCCTAGATAATTATTTATATTAATTTTGATTGAATTTCAAGTTTACTTATCAGAATTATATTTTTTAATTTATCCACAATTATAATAAAAGTAGATAAATTATGATATATTCGTCAAAGAGATATCGTCTAAAAATTGACAGTTTTATCGCAACGGCTAAGATGGTTAAAACGATATCCGCTAGTACAATGTCCATGAATAGCTAAATATTTGACAAAAGATTCTCAAGAGAGAAATAACGTCCTGTCAAACGCACACGAGCATTAATATAAAACGTTATAAAAACGTCCTCGATAAAGCCCTTATAAACCCGTGGATGAGAGAATAGATTCATTATCGTACTCGCGACCTTGCTTAGCTCTCTCTCCTCTCTCTCTCTCTCTCTCTCTCTCTCTCTCTCTGCGAGAGATATCGCATGTCGTTTTATTGCAATACGGTGACAAGCGCGTGGCCGAAGACGTTGTCGCGCGAACGTGTAATTATCGAACCGAGCAGCGACGGAGCGGCAGCTCGGTTTGGTGACCCACTTACCGTTGACAACGCCTATTCTCTTCTGACCTACATCGTCAGAGCTCGCTCGTCCGTACGATCCCGTTTCCCCATGCACAGGAGCACATCCGATCATCTATCGGGCCAATTTCGCCCGATTTTGCCTGCGCGCGAAATATACATATACCGGAAAACCGCGCGAGACAAGATTTCTGAGGAGAGAGCACCTTCTTCCGACAAGTCCCCATATAATCTATATTCCCGAGTTAGATCGAACGAGATGTTCGATTAAACTCGCATTTTATCCACTAAAGTATCGAAAGTTTAAATTAGATAACGCGGAAAACCGCGAGATCACCGTCTCTGTGGTCCAGCTCTTGGTTTCACTTTGTCCGTTCTCTTCCCGTAGACTTCGAATGGATATTTTTTCTCCCGCAATTTATTATATCGTTCGACAAATCGAGAAAAAGATTTTCAACCGCATTTGCTTTTTCCATGGAAAAAATCCTTTGAAGCTTTGACTTAAATTCGATTCATCTCTTCTCGATTTTTTCGCGACGAATATTTGTCCCTCCGTTCTCACTTCCGTGATTTTCTCCCGAGAAGCGACCAAGGAGCGCACGCAAATTCCGCTCGTCCCGATCTCAGGTTGCGCATTACGGCAAATTCGAGCCGCGGATTCCCTGGCGGCTCGCCAAATTTTACTCAATTCGCTCCGCAAGAGAGAACGTCTCATCGTCAGACGTCTCTCCAGCTACGCCGCCTCCGCGTCGGAGTCGGCGCTTGGAATAATTCTTGGCGAATATCCACGAGTCTGTCTGCCGCGTTGCATCGACTTCTCTCTAGTATTAGCCGGCCTACCCAGACGGTACAAATCTAAAGAAAGAGAGAGAGAGAACTTGTGATCGATGTTCTGCAAATACACCGAGTCCGCGCGCGTAAATTCGGGATTCTATTTCGGCAATTCGAACCTAATCCGGCCTTCAATATTTGATACGATTGCGCTATCTTCGTTGACCGTTTCATGCGGAAAGTTATTAACATACGCGTGCGGGCATACATTGTGCCCTCGCGATACGCAAAACGCCTTAAGGAAGATTATATCGAGTTAATGGAATCAATTCATTAGGATTTGTGTCGATAATCGTAGGTCGGGCACTCTTCCCCGCCGCCGCCGCCTGCACCCGCGTCGGGTCCTGGTCCAGGAGGCCCGGTGTCACCCCGATCCGTTCAGAAGGAGAATTCTCCGCCCCGTGGTCCACGAACCCTCCTGCTCAGGCGCAGCGAGAATGGATACGGATTCACGCTCCGGCACTTCATCGTCTATCCGCCCGAGTCCTGCTGCGTGAGTATCTCATAGCGAGACTGTAAAAAAAAATTCCGAGGAAATGTAATAATTTGACATTTCTCACGCGCGACCGTTGCAGATGCTGCCGGGACACGAGCGGACCAGAATCGACGAGCCTATGGACACGATCTTCGTGAAGCAAGTGCGGCCGAATTCGCCGGCGGCCGAGGCGGGATTGCGCACCGGCGACCGCGTCGTCTCCGTAGACGGGACGCCTACACGAGGCGAGCAATACGCTAGCGTGGTGCAACGCATTCAGCAAGCGGGACCGTGGCTGCGCCTCCTCGTGGTCTCCAAGGAGGACGACATTCTGCAGAGGGTAAGATTCTGCTGCACGGGTGACAAATACGAAGTAGATTGGACTTCTTGAGAAGAACGTCAACCGCTTCTCAATCTCTTCCACAATCGGCTTTTGTGGAAATTGTATTTTCGTCGACATCATCGATTTATCGGTTTTACTTAACTTTTAATACGACTTAATAATATGACCGAGCAAGAGTATTGTGATATGTATGATCTGGGTAGTTTAAATAGCCAGAGCAGCGATTCCGATCTTCCGATTAGCCACGTTTTTTTTTTTTTTTTTCTGTATAACTTGTAATAAAAATAATAATTTATCTTACCTTGAACTCTTTCTAGTATTTTGGCGAAACGGCGCACAATCCCGAGACGAATCAACGACCGCGGCTGCGTTCCCCGGAGAGGCTATCGCAGAAGCAACGCAGATCGATCAGCAGCATGATTCCGGGCTCGTCGCCGAGAACGCGGCAATCCTGGGTCTGTTCTCTCGGATCATCGTCCGAGAATTCGAATCATCTCGAGGATGCAGTGTGCAGGAACCAGCAGACCGTGTACGCGGACGGCAGGATGCCGACAACAATATCTCAGATTCAACCGATCGCAGAATCTCAGATGACGAGCGTGTTGCAGCAGCAGCAACGGAGGGGCGTGCCGGATGCATTGTACGATTCTTCGGAGGACTCCAGAATCTCGGGGAGAAAGCTACAGTCGCTGCATGAGGATAACTCGCAATCGAGCGGCCGTTCGTCTCAAGATTCGAGGTACGATCTGTACGACAGAACGCGATCCGAGTCGATGTACTCACGGCCGAGCAACGAGCAGCTTTATGACAGGATTAACGATCCAATTTATGAGCGTGTACGCGTCAGCGAGCACTATCCGCAGCATTACTACCAGCAGCCGTCCCTGCTGCGTTATCCAATGTCGCAGGCAGAGCCGCAAGTCCCAATCTACCGGCCGGTCAAGCGGATGGTGGCACGACGCGCCAGTGAAGGCAGCGGAACCACCAATGATTCCGAAACGGCGAGCTACGGCAGCATCGATGCGTTAAGATCGAACGAATCCAGCAGATTGAGCATCGAGTCGAGACGGGACTCCTCACCCGTTGCCAGCAAAGACAGCAGCACGTCCCCTTACGATTCTAATTCGACTCTGACTGGGAACGAGTGCTCCGATGATTCTGTCATTATGAATAGATTACGCAAGAGCTTCGAGCAGAAGGCAGAATTTCTGCGGCGGCCGAGTCACCCGATCGGCTGGTCCTCTGAGCCGCTGCCGTCGCTGCAGAACTTTAACCAAGCCGCGGTGATCCAGAGAGAATTCTACGCGAGGCCGCAGAAACTGCAGAGACCAATCTGGCCGCCCGGTCAGAACGAACAAAGACAGCAGTCCCCCACGAGAAGAGCTTCTCTAGAGAGGAATGTCGCTGCCAAGCCCACGAGTTTGATGAACAAGCCGTCGAATCAGAGCGTGCAGAGGATAAAGGACGTAGACTCCAACTCCGAGTACTCCAAGTCACGGAATGATCAACAGTTCGGGGACAATCAATCCGTCGCCGAAGATCACTCTTACTCGTCATCGTCTTTCTACGACAACGAGCTCACTATGAAGGAGCAGCAATATCGAGGCACGGGCAAGGGTAATTTTGTAAGTATCCTATCCAGGATACACGAGAACATTAGTACGAATCAGCAGCAAACACCGCAAGAGACGAGGAACGGTTCTTCCTCGCTGCCGTCTTCACCGGGACCGGACAAGAAAGCCGGCAGTGACACCAAGTTTCCGGTACCGCCGCAAGGCTTGCAGATCGTATCGAAACGCGCCAAGCAATTCGAGTCCGGTCGTTTGCTGAGTGATGAGGACGAGCCCGCTGGCGATCGGACGAATCTTTACAAGAGCGAGTTGTCCCGATTGTCCAACAAGAAAAGTGTACCGAATGTGGCTGTGCGGAAACGTGAGTTCGAGTCCAAAGCCGAGAGTCAGGAAACAAGGAGAATACCGGCCAGAGAAACCAAGTCTCTCGACACTGGTAAGCGTCGATTAAGCGTAGATAAAAAAATTATCATTTTGCTTTTCTGTTGAAGTGGTGCGCAAGATTTGTCACAATTGCTAAATAAAGTCTAATTTATAGTAAAATCGAAACACAAAATTGTCACCATTGCAAATTATGATCGATCGATACTTTGATGATAATCGGACTGTGAATATATCTTGCGCGATTAATTAGGCATCAATCAAATCAAGTACTCTCAAATCGATGCTCAGTAAACAAGTGTCATCGTTTAGGTCCAGTATTGACAGGCAACAGAATAATTCCTATAGGCAGCATACATATCCATTGCGAGCCACCGGCCGACTATAGAGAGAGTAAAGGTAGATAGAATTAAAAGACTGTGTCGAGTTGTCTGTGCATTGTCGTCTTGTGCCGCTATTGTGTTGTCGATGATTCGTTGTGCATTCTATGTGAGCGCGATGTCGCGGTATAGCGTTTATAATTCGCCATACACACACACGCATTATATTACACACTAATATAGTATATAGTATATATATATATATATATATATATAATAATTTTATACACACGTATACACATCTATAATAGATGATACAATAATATTAATGCATATTTCTTCTTATTTCCTCGCTTCTCACGGCCAAACTAAAACAGAAACATAGATTTTTATTTGTAGTAAATAATGATATAAATAATGAATAAAATTGAAATTAGTCTTTGGAGTGATATTCACTGTAAATCAATCGCGTCTACAAGAGACGCGCGATTGGTTCGAGCTTGCTTCCAAGCGAGAGTAACCGGATAAAGCTATGGTATACCGGAATTTGTTGATAGCACAAAGGGGATATTAACTGCCCTCATGCACCCATATTGTTTTTGTTGCTCAGCTTCTTACCACGTCGCGGTAATTCAAAATAGGAACGACACAACTGCCGGCGCTTCTTGTGTAGCGACAACAAAAGCAAAAACATACACGCTACATGTATAATATGTATACAATATATATTTCACAATGGCTAATTTTAACAAAAATTAGTCGGTTCATCAAATATAATAAATATAACAATATCTCGACGAGAAAGAATGAAATCGTAATAATTACGTGATCATGCAGACATGCCTACCATGGAGGCAGAATCAGTGCGTTTGAGGGCACGCAGCAACAGCGCAGAGTCCTGGGAAGCTGCGAACGGTCCGGCGGCGCGAAGCAGCTGCGCCAGGCACACATGGCAGACTACCGATGAGGAAGGTAGCACCGAGGACGACGGTAAAGCCGCCTATCGCACGCAGGATAGTTATTTGCAATCGGCCAAACTGCTGCAAGTCGGTTAGTCCGCTTTTTTCGCCACCGTTTGTATTTACAAATATATATATATACACACACACACACACACACACACACATTGTCACTCACACACACGTATTTACATCGCATAAAGGTCGAGCATAAAGCGTTAATAATTGTCCCATTGATTTCTCTTTCAGCGCCGGTCAATGGTTCTTCGCCCAACGGCTCGACCAATAACGCTGTAGTGCTCAGGCGACAGAAGAATGCACAGATCAGTGAGTTTAAATGCGATGAAGATATTTTTAACATTACGTGCACACAATTATTGCGACGCACGCGTCTTTAGTACGATGAAATTATAAAGACATATCTATACTAGAATCTTCTTTCGATATGATTTTTTTCCGCGCGAGTTTTAATATGTTGAATTATAATGATATTGCACAGCTAAATGCTATCTTTTTTTAAAATTGATTTACCACTCCAATTTGGAAAAATAATCTTGATTTCGAGAGTATAAACACACATTTGTATATAATATAAATTTAAAACTTTAAAATATATGAAATACTCTCACACTAACAGAATTCAATGAAACAAAATGAAAAAGGGAAAAAGAAAAATGATTTTTTTACCTACAGATGATGTTTGTAAACTATACTTGACGATAATTGAATTATGAGCGGTGATAATTATTCAACAGCTGACGAGGATCGTGCCACCAGACGGGTCTCATATCTGAAGGCGACGTGGGGCGAACGAATGCACGTTGACAGCGATTTGGAGCTTAGCGATTCGGAACCTGTTCACATTCACAGAAGGTATATAATCTCTTGATACGCGCGTCTCGAGGTGTGACGTTAGAGCGTGCGGATGTCAAAGTCACCGATATTTATTTGTCTCTTCTCGAACGCATCAGCAAGATACACGTGTATTATCACGATGACACGTTTATTTCTCTTCGCGTATCTCTCGTTCACTCGTGAAAATAACGAGCAGTCGCGACAATTTCGTCGTTGAAGGTGTTTACATGCTGTAAGTATAACCACGAAACTGCACCCGTATTCGTGTCCATGTTTCCAGCGTGCATAGACGATGGCGGCCGCCGTTATTTCCGAGCGACATTACGCCTCTGCGACGCATCTTTGAGGATATGACGCAGGCCGCGTCCTTACATCGATATTCTCATCATCGGTGAGGGCGAAAGAGTTCCTTTTTTTGAGAAGCACGGGAAAGAATGCATTGTCTCTCTATACTCTCCGCATTTCTTCCTCCAAGCTAATGTATATTCGCTCTTCGTTTCTGTATTTACGTTTGCGCTACTTATCTGCCTGTAAACGACGACGTGTGACGAATAATCGCGGTGGAATAGCGATTAAGAAGCATGAGAGTTGTTACGCATTTCGTGTATCGTCTCTCGACGACATATTTTCACGATACAGAACATTTTCGATTCGGAAATAAAATGCGATTGTACATTCTATTTCCTGCGTACAACGTGAAAATTGAGAAAAACAAAAACGAAAAAAAAAATTTTTTAATTACACGATACAAAATAAAATAAAATTTAAAATAGAATACTTGCACACACCAAGATATTAAGTAAAATAAATTATTTGAGAGAAATACAAATGTTTTCAATTACTAACAAATTTAAAACATATTTAAAAAAAAAATGTTGCTTACAAAAGAATAAATTCAATTCAGACAATATGCAATTAAATAAACGAAAAAAATTAAACAGTTCGATTAAACATATTTGAATAAAGAACTAAAAAAATTGTATGACGAAAAATATTGCGCGTGAGATAGGAGAGCTGATAATTTTTTTTCCTGGTGATATGATGATGCAAACCGAATATATCACGACTTCGCAATCCCTACTGTTAGTTGCTCGAGTGGCATTAGATAAGGATATCCTTCCTTGTTTATTATTCCTATTGCGATAAGGAACGTACGTCCGTGATCAATGTGTCGAGGACACATAGAATGTAACACATCCCTGTGTTTGTGACTCTGATATTAAAACCAGTTACTGTGGTCGTCTATGTTGTGCTATTCTAGACTCTTCCTGACGCTAGATAGATATGTGTTAGTGTATCTTAGCGTATCCTTTCGGATACTGATTTATTGGCTGATTGTTACTAACGGAATGAGACTAATACCAACCGACGATCGATGTGACCGCTATTTTCAGTGTCATTCTCGATTTAGGAGAGGGCCGAGAATATAGAAATGTAGTTGTAAATAATATTACAGCATAGTTCCGATATCTCTGAAATTATAGATGGCATCGCTATTGTTCTGTATACAAGGTTTATATATACAGGATGGAGCACTTGAAATTATCATTTTGGTTTACATCAATGTTATTATCTGTAGAGAAAAATGGGTTGCTAAAATTGCATGTTTAGTTTTAAGGAAACCTAAAATGTATCAAATAAAATCTTTTTAAGCGGAGGCAGATTATAAGACATTTATTATTTATGTATTATTATTTTTTTTTTTTCTATAAATTTTTCTCTAATATCATTCAATTGACGTAAATCAAGGTGATAATTTCAACTATTCTATTCTGTGTAGATATAAATGTATAAAGTTTGCAAAACAACACAGATTCGATCACAGCTCCATTTCTGTTCCAGTAACAGTATCGTTGTACCGCATAATACATCAAACAGCTGCGACGCAAAGGATGCCGAACCGGTGGAACGGGAGGGAACCCTTCATGTGAAGTTTACAGTGCTCGATGGCAAGGTGAGGACACGAACAAAATAACGAATTCAGTTGGATGCGCATTGAATTCGTCTTTCAATTTTTAACATTTATCATAATTTCAGCGATCTACCGATCGTTCCTGGAAGCAGGTCTGGGGTGTCCTCCGTGGTCCTATAATATATTTTTACAAGGATCGTCATAGTCAGGTGAGAAGAACATTTAAAGATCGTTGTGTGTCATTTGCAATCAAATGGAATATGAAAGAAGAATATTTTATGTGTACACGATACTTTTGTTACAGAGTCCTTCGTTGAGCACCGAGAACGAGGGAAATGCGGGACAGAGCGTCGATGTTAGATGTTCCGTCGTCGACGTTGCCGAGGACTACACGAAACGGAAACACGTGTTGCGAGTGGCGAACCCTACGGCGGAAGTACTTTTGCAGACTGAGGACGCGGCATCTATGGCGCTCTGGTTAAGGTCACTTCATTCTCACGCCGCCGCGGAAAGATCATCGGTGAGCGCTAATTATGGAATAATCTTTTGCCAGATGAAAGTGCCATTACCTTCGCCACTCTTCTTTCACTATTTTTGCAATCATTAAATCTCCTATGTACATTTTTCATGAAAAAAATTATTTATTAAAACAGGACATCGTATCCTGCACGTCAAAGCAACAGGCCGTACCGCAAACTCCGACAACTCCAAGCGGTAGTGTTTCTCCGAGCAACGGCCAAAGATTGAGCCCTCTGCCTAGCCACAAGGGCATCAAGAAGCTAACGTCGTTCAGGAACCGATCGCCGACGGGACAATCGCCTGTGAACAAAACCCGCAAGCCGAGTAATCAGATGCTGGAACCTTTACCGTCACCCAAGTCGAAAACTTGGAAGGGGAGGATGGCAAAACAGTTCAGAAGAATGCACGGTCAAACCGGCGGCACACCTTCTTCACCTACGGCGCAAATGCCGCCTGAAGGGGCCACCTTCAAAGTACCCCTCGAACTCTGTCCGCCATCGTCGTTTTCCGAATACGTACCGCTGATTGTCGAGATGTGCACGAGTATCGTCGAGGCGAGAGGTCTCGAGGTCGTGGGCATCTACAGAGTGCCCGGAAACACGGCCGCGATCTCCCAGCTCACGGATAGCGTCAACAAAGGATTCGAGAACATCAACTTCCAGGTAGTATTCCGTCCGATAATGTCGAGGTACCTATTTTGCGAAGATCCTGTTTATAATTTATTTCTTTCCGCATACAGGATCCAAGATGGAGCGACGTCAACGTAATATCATCGTTGCTGAAGTCGTTTTTCCGTCAACTGCCCGATTCCCTGCTTACGGCAGAGCTATATCCTATGTTCATCGATGCCGATAAGATAGAAGATCCGCAGAGGCGAATGACCACGATACGAAAACTACTGCGGGATCTTCCGGAGCATCATTTTGAAACGCTAAAGTATCTCATGCAACATCTGAAGAAAATAGTTGATCATAGCGAGATCAATAAAATGGAGGCCAAGAATTTAGCCATCGTTTTCGGGCCAACGTTGGTACGAGCGAGCGGTTCCAGGGACAATATGGTCACCATGGTTACCGATATGTCACATCAATGTAGAATAGTAGAGAGTTTGTTGAATAATGTAAGTTTCTTCTATGTTAAAAAAAGAAGACGCTGCTTCCTTAACAAGATATCTAACGGTCTCGGATCGATATGTTTCAGGTTGATTGGTTCTTCTCGGAGGACGATCTTGACGACTTGAGCAGATTGAGCGTAAATTTAAGTCTTCCAACGGATAGTTGCGAAGTCGAACCGATGTCCAATCATAATCTTCTATTAAATAATATTCAGAAAGTCGAAGGTATTTGTTATATTTATAATTATATCTCCATTATTTCATTTGCAATTCTCCTCGCGCTTTTTATTTTTTACGCGTTTACTTCAAATCTTATCTCATTCTTTTTTAGCTCATTACTTTGATATTTGTTGGCGCTTTTGATAGATAATAGTTTAAGCTTACTGTATATTCGATTTGCAACAGCAATGCATTTGTCTCCTTTATTGTGATAAAACAGGCATACGTGACATGGCATCCGCTAGGGACATCGTATCATCAATTATATCTGCAGCGAATAAAAAGATCCAAAGAAGACGCAAGAATCAAGACGAAATCGATAACGGTGAACACGAGGGCGATAAGGTTAGTTACTAATCTTATTTTTTCATCGGACGAGAAGTTAAAATCAAACTTGTAATAATTTAGGCCAAATCGAAGCAAGAATCGGAGAGTTCGCCGACGATTCGGCAGAGCATGGCCTTGAACGAGCGACAGTGTTCCGTCAGCGAAATCGTACAGATGCACGAGAACAAGAATCATTCTACCGATCGTTCCGATCGGTCCCTGTCGGTTGATTCTAATAATATCGGCGGTTCGTCGAATAACGGAGCGTCTCCATCGAATCGTTCCAAGTACTCGATTCAATCTGCACCGCCATCTGTGGACTCTTCGAGATTGCCGAGCGAGACCGGTCCAAGTTCGGCGGAAACGGGCTCCATCGCATCCGGCGAATCTAACCAGACGAGACAGAGCAACGACGAAATAGCGATCCTGACATACACCGGTTTAAGCGCGACCACGCAGGAAAGAGTGCGAAGATTCGAGGAAGAGACGAAGGCAATGCTGCAAAGGGATCAACATCGACAGCGACTCGAAGCAGAGAAGCGAGAAGAGGAGAAACGAAGGATTGAGATAGAATGGCAGTTGGCGAAACGAGAGATGGAGAACGACGATCTGCTCGACAGTATAGTCGATACGACAGTATCACCGAGTCTGTTGTCGGAACGTCTGTCTAGTTTGAACGAGAGACTCGCCGATGAATCGTTGCTGGACCTGTCAGAGAGGTCGCAAGTCAGATCGCGGTCGACCACGAGGCCACCGCTGTCGATAACCATACAACAGCAATCACACCAGACACACCAGAAAGCGCAAGCAACCAATCAACTGACTACCGTGTTGGGGGAGAAGATAAATAACGGCGTCATTAAGAAGTTCAAGACGGACAAAGACGTAAGTTGATTTGAATTTACGTTTGATTAATGATTAGATGATAATACCTAATCCAAATTTTATTCATTTTTCGTGTGATATTCAAGATCGTAGGTGAAGGACTTTTGAAGGACTTTTTTCTTTCTGTTTTGCAAAGATTGTCTTATATGTTACTTTGTCATTCAAAAGAATTGTTCTTTGATCGATCCTGCTTGCTCATACAGATTTATTGGCATTACAGCCGTCAACAGAGTCGATCTGTCTACCGCCAGTTCGATACGGCAGTCTGGATTCCTTGCACGAGGTTCACAATCTTTCGCAATCCTCTCCGTCACCGTCGCAGCAACAGCGAGGTGTTCCCGGCGATGGCTCGGACGATGGTTAGTATTCCATTCCTTACACCTTCGCGATGTCGTTATTCCGAGTCCTCGTCATATGCTAGTCTTTGTGCTCTCAATATATCCCAACAATCGTACGTTGCGATAAAAATATGAAGCATTGTACGATACGCGAATCTTTTGTACATGCTATTCGGCAAAAATAGATAATTAACGCGTATGCGTGAAACAATGCTGATAATCGCAGAGTTCAAGGGATCAAGATCTACATATATAAATACGTGTCGTATATGTACGTGTGTTATGTATACAAGAGTTGTCTAAAAAAAAAGCGATATATTAGAAAAGCAAATTCGCTTGCTATTCTTTCAGCATTTCTCGCGCGAATTTGTTCATCAATTCCTGAAAATATTTTCCGATTCGAATATATTCCAATTCCTATCTCTCGTCGTGAATCCACGTGACAATTACAACGTGTATTATGTATCTGCCTCTATTCATATCCTCTCTTATATCTTTTCTCTGTGTAATATCGCTTCTGACGATCGGTGAGTGTAGCAGGATCTTGTTTTCTGCAGTGGACACAGAAGATACTCACTATTAACAAAAAGCTTTCTAGGTACATTCCTCCTTCTTATTTTTGCTTCAAGCGATTTTTTTTTCCTTTTTCTTCGAATTATGACGATCTTTAATTGTATGTTACGAAGTTATATCGTCATTGCTCGGAAATTGACTTTCTTTTTTTACATTGCGTTCGCAACATTACCATTACGCGGAGCGTAGTCGATTTTAGTGGAAACACGTCCACGAGACACACGAGGCTTCTTGCAATGAAAGCAGATTTAATTTTAGAAGATACTATATCTCGTATTTTCGATCAAGCGCAAGGAGGATCGGTCACAAAGAGAGAGAATGAGAATAAAATTTAAAAAAATAAATATATATATATCTCAAAGTTATACACATGACGTGTCTTTTGGGGCCGATCCTTTATTTTTACATTGTTTTCATGTGCTGCATGCGCCAGTCTTTGGCTTTCGACATTAAGAAAAGCACATATATTTTACACAGATTGACTGCTTCTTCAGTGACTTTTCCTCGTAAATGTACAGGCGGCGTAAAAAAGGTCGAGATGCTTCTTTTTTTAACGCATTTGATATATCTAATAAGGGAATACGTTTTCTGAGGACTAACGATATTCCCGAAGAAACATGATTTCTTACTGGATATCTCTTTGCAAAAGTCATTTAAAAAAAAAAGTGTCTCAAATGCTCTTTAACGCTGATTATCAGATAAATCTCTCTCGTCGCATGCATGTCTTTCGAGGATCTATCGCGAGCACTTCAAATGGATTCTTCGATCACTGCTTGCCTTTACGAAGATGTGAATATTCTTAGAGGAATCACGTTTAGACACACATATACATTATCTCATATCATGAGCGATTTTTTAATAATAAGTTTGAAGGCATTTTTCTTTTTTTTTCTTTCTTTTTCACGACCATCGTAAGCAATGTTTCGATGGATCTCTTGCTATTAGTCTGAAAGTACGTCTAGTTATCGCATTTTCTCGTCACACACGTGTGCATCGCCGAATTACACTTGTCTGATTGCTCGTCTGCCTGCCTGCTCTTTAATCGATTATAACGATTGCCTTTATTGCTGATTAATCTTGTGGCCTTTTTAATTATGTGAAACTGATTGCTCTGCCGCCTCAGTCTACGTCTTTGCGATCAGACACGCCCGAAAGGAATACGAATATTGTCGGATCAACATGTTCCTTCCGAGGATCCTCGGACAGGGTCGATCAATCCGCGTTCTCGTCACGGCTGAAAAATCGTTGATGTTGATCTTGAAAATTCGATTCTTCCTCTCCGCTCTCAATCTGCTTTTCTTCTCTTTTTTTTTCTTTCGTTTTATCTTTCCTCTTTTCGTTACGTTCGTTCAGTCTCTCTGTGGGACGATATACTTTCATTTCGAGAATACTGGATTCGCGCGGCGATCAATCGGTGGCTAATCGGATCGAGAGAATATAGAGTACTTGAATAAAGAGAAAGAAAGAAAGAGACGGAGAGATATATATACGGTGGGTCCAGACGCAAAGGAGGAAGACGTGAGGAAGACGAGAGAATTGCTCCGCCGCGCCGGCCGCAACATGAACGATAACGAATGAATGACGGTACGAAATGGTTGAATACCACGTGTAGGCACACAGCGAGCCCGGGTTTTTGGTGGTACATATCGTCCCACCTATACGGTACCGCAGGTCCCGGTAGTCCCGCCGCCCCGAAGACACCGACCCAGTCGCCAATGTCAATGCCAGTGCCGGTCGCAGCGGTCCCGATGCCGATGTCCATGCCCGTGTCAGTGCCAACAGCAGCAACAACAGCAGCAGCAGCAGCCGCCGCCGCACCGCTGGCAACTGCTGTCGCGTCTACAGCAACAGCTGCCTCATCATCATCGCAATCGTGCGCAGGAGACGACGCGCGATCGTCAGACGAACCAGCCACCGCCAAGACTCTAAACCGATTCCTCCGAGGTAAATCCCACGTCTTGCCAGATCAGAAATCTGGCGGATCCGCCTCCAGCATCTGAGATGCCCGACGAGCTGACTCAGCTGGCTGGCTCAAACCGAATGGCTTTTATATACACGCTCTTTTATTTTACATACAGGCCACCATTAAGCACGTCACGCGTTGTGTGTGTTGTTACTTTTATCTCTTCGACTAACATTTGTCTCCGTACGTGTCACGTATGCATCTTTCACGCCCAGCAATCGCGCAATCTGCTCTGTTAATATCTTACATATATCGCGACCGTCATCTTCGAGGAGAACCTTGACAGGTTTTTATAATAACGCTGGAAGCGTTTTTTTTTTTTTCTTTTTTTACCTCGTCCCATTGGTAGAGATGACGATGCTGTTTCTTCGTGTTATTTTTCTCACAATTTCCCGCTCGGATGTTTGTGAGCGTGGATCTTGTCTACGTCTCACTAATTGCGAAATTCTTATACGATACGGTATTCCTCGAATGAGAAACATGTAATCTCTTCTACTTTTAAAGCAGCGTTAATATACCAGTTACTCGGCGATTTTAATTTTAGTTTTCAATAAGTATTAGTTTAAATATTTTTTTGAGTAATTTTTTAGGTATCTACGTTTAAAGATATATTTTTAGTAATATTATTTATGTACTGTGTTTCTTGTGGAGATTTTTGTACAATTGACGAATCTTGTTTGTTTTTCTTTTCTCATCTAAGGATACGATGTTTGTTTTCCTATCATGCTTTAGCGCAAGAAAGAAGATATTGCAAATTACGTTGTTATTACAATTGTCGTAATGTATATAGCTAGCGAAATAATGACAATTTTTATTGACAACGACGATAGTAAAACTGAGTGATAACGACGATAACGATTGCGACGATGCTCTCTGATAAGAATGAAGCTACAATAACATATTAATTAATTCTCTTGCGATAATCGCGCTCGCTTCACGTCGACAGAATGCATTTCGACGATCATTATTATTGTTACGGATTATTTCCAACTACAATCTTATTTCGTGACAATTTTATTTTGTAAGAATGCACTCACGCAAGATATATCACCAGCTGCGATAAACGAAAAGAAAAAAACGCATATACTTTTCGTTCATCTTGTTTAGCGATTATGTATATGACAAATTATTACAACGACTAGATAACAATTCGCGGTGCTTTGAGTGTTTTTTCTTTTTTTCCTTTGTATTCGTACAAGTTTGTGCGTCTCGTGTGTTTTTACGCGCGTATAACGCTTTATCATTAACACGACGAATTTTACAGGTAGCGACCTTCTAACCAGCCTCACGACCACGTTCGATCGCAAATGGAGGTCCCTCGTCAATCAATCGTCGACTCAAGCGCAGCCTCCTCCGGAATCCGCGCCCCGTAATAAGAATGGCACCTCCGCGGAACGGGAGCAAAAATCGAGCGTGTCTGTGAAATTCCGATATCCATCTACGGAAACCTATCGTGATCCCAGCCTTCATAAATCGCTCGACAAATATCACATCTCCCGCCCAAAGGACGTAAGTGTCTTAATATCATGGTCACATGTATCGATAAAGTCTCTCTCATACATTTGAAGCTATTAATGTTATTAGAAAGAATATATGAATACGAAATGTCTCGAATAATTTATTTTTACCTAGATAGCTTACTAGACGGCCTCGCATATTTTAAATATAAATCAAAAAATATTGATATAGATTAAAAAGATATTGATAAGCTTATATTGAATAATTTTTTTAAAAATGTCATCATTTTCTTGTCGATTTACCGCAGGACACTCCCGAGAAGGATACCGATTCTACGGTGATTGACGACATACCACATTCTTTGGAGTCAATCACACCGAATAACGACCGCGGCGCGAACGATAAGCAGAGGCCGGACCCGAATCACGCCACGGAGAAGATGGTGACGGAGAAAACTCCGGATTCGAGCGAGAAGGACGAGGATGATCGGAGGGATGCCGACGAGGAGGGAGATTATCCGTGCGCGGGAAATCCAAGACGTTACGAATCGACGAGCGAGAAGAATCCTCATGAAAGTAGTAGATGCTCGGAGAACAACGATGTCGATGCAAAATTGGACGCCAAGAGTCACCATTACGAGACGACTGGAGATTCCAGTTATTCCAATAAGCTGAAAAAATTTGAAAGCCTGACGAGCTCCGAGGTGAGATCCCGCCTGAAACGATCGGAATCATTGAACAAGAGAACGTCCGAGAACACTTGCTCCCGATTAAAAAGATCGGAGAGTCTGAATAAACATTCGACTGAGAGACCGTCGCTGCTTAAACGATCCGAGAGTCTCAACAAACACTCCGGTGACAGATCGGAGTCGCCGGGCAGCAGGCTGAAACGCTCCGAATCGCTGACCAAGACCGAGAAGACCGAATGCAATATTAGCAAACGGCGCCAATCGGTGCGAAAGGAGAGCGCCACGAAGCTGAAACGGAAGAACGGAATGTCAGAACGGTCGATCAAACGGAGACACACGGTCGGCGGTACCAAGGACTTTGACAAAGTGCACTGGCTCGATAATAAACTGCAGTCTGAGGCCGAGAGGATCATTAGAAGCGACTACAGACCGAAGAAGAGCCAGCTCAGAACCAGCTCGCCCGATCTGAGCGCCCATCGCGTTGGCATGGCCGACACGAGTTTCTTGATCGAGGTCAGTTTTCGCGGGCCCAGCAACGTTGTCTTCAACGTGACTAACGCTGCGCGGCCGCAGTCGTTGCCGGATGCGAATATCGCGTCTAAGGTCTTCAAGGTGCCCCTCGAGAGCCACGTATAATATATGCTCGAATAAATTACTCGATATTTTTTATTCACCTCTGAATAATACACGCAACGCTGTTGCTGTACCTGCCGTCATTTTTAATATCTGTACCAGTTTATATTATATCCCTGAATCATATCAAGTTTATACATCTCATATTATAAAAATATCTGGATAATGATAATTTAAATTCTCGTTTGCCGAAATGATTCATCGATTGTCACTCGCCAACGTGCCAAAGAGCCATCACTCTATGAATCGTTATCGACAATTCGTTTCACAATTAAAATGAATTGAATATGAAAGGAAACTAGGCACTTCGTCTTCTAAACAGCGATGTTTTGACCATCGAGTTAGATTAATGTACAATGCGAGAATCGTTGCAACGATCGCGTATTAGACTTTATTTTAGAGAAAAAGACACTTTGCCGATCTAACGGAAATAGTAAGCGCCAGGTCGCGTTGGAGAAACGTAAGAAAGTTATTTTAACGGTTTTAATTGCATGTGGCATTTGTATCGTGTCAATTATATACGTATTATCATACTTGTGATTTGTGATTGTGACATCTTTTGTACATAAGATATATGTATAATGCGGAATATATTATATATAGGATTCGCGATTGAATATTAAATATCCATGTAACTATATATATATATATATATATATTGTCTGTCTTTAAATTTATATTTTAATAATCACTTTACATCTCTCTCTCTCGTCGCGTGGATATTCTTTACACGCGTGCGATACTGCTCGATCCTCGTGCGCGCGAGCAATTTGTGCGTCTCGTGTGTTTTTACGCGCGTATAACGCTTTATCATTAACACGACGAATTTTACAGGTAGCGACCTTCTAACCAGCCTCACGACCACGTTCGATCGCAAATGGAGGTCCCTCGTCAATCAATCGTCGACTCAAGCGCAGCCTCCTCCGGAATCCGCGCCCCGTAATAAGAATGGCACCTCCGCGGAACGGGAGCAAAAATCGAGCGTGTCTGTGAAATTCCGATATCCATCTACGGAAACCTATCGTGATCCCAGCCTTCATAAATCGCTCGACAAATATCACATCTCCCGCCCAAAGGACGTAAGTGTCTTAATATCATGGTCACATGTATCGATAAAGTCTCTCTCATACATTTGAAGCTATTAATGTTATTAGAAAGAATATATGAATACGAAATGTCTCGAATAATTTATTTTTACCTAGATAGCTTACTAGACGGCCTCGCATATTTTAAATATAAATCAAAAAATATTGATATAGATTAAAAAGATATTGATAAGCTTATATTGAATAATTTTTTAAAAAATGTCATCATTTTCTTGTCGATTTACCGCAGGACACTCCCGAGAAGGATACCGATTCTACGGTGATTGACGACATACCACATTCTTTGGAGTCAATCACACCGAATAACGACCGCGGCGCGAACGATAAGCAGAGGCCGGACCCGAATCACGCCACGGAGAAGATGGTGACGGAGAAAACTCCGGATTCGAGCGAGAAGGACGAGGATGATCGGAGGGATGCCGACGAGGAGGGAGATTATCCGTGCGCGGGAAATCCAAGACGTTACGAATCGACGAGCGAGAAGAGTCCTCATGAAAGTAGTAGATGCTCGGAGAACAACGATGTCGATGCAAAATTGGACGCCAAGAGTCACCATTACGAGACGACTGGAGATTCCAGTTATTCCAATAAGCTGAAAAAATTTGAAAGCCTGACGAGCTCCGAGGTGAGATCCCGCCTGAAACGATCGGAATCATTGAACAAGAGAACGTCCGAGAACACTTGCTCCCGATTAAAAAGATCGGAGAGTCTGAATAAACATTCGACTGAGAGACCGTCGCTGCTTAAACGATCCGAGAGTCTCAACAAACACTCCGGTGACAGATCGGAGTCGCCGGGCAGCAGGCTGAAACGCTCCGAATCGCTGACCAAGACCGAGAAGACCGAATGCAATATTAGCAAACGGCGCCAATCGGTGCGAAAGGAGAGCGCCACGAAGCTGAAACGGAAGAACGGAATGTCAGAACGGTCGATCAAACGGAGACACACGGTCGGCGGTACCAAGGACTTTGACAAAGTGCACTGGCTCGATAATAAACTGCAGTCTGAGGCCGAGAGGATCATTAGAAGCGACTACAGACCGAAGAAGAGCCAGCTCAGAACCAGCTCGCCCGATCTGAGCGCCCATCGCGTTGGCATGGCCGACACGAGTTTCTTGATCGAGGTCAGTTTTCGCGGGCCCAGCAACGTTGTCTTCAACGTGACTAACGCTGCGCGGCCGCAGTCGTTGCCGGATGCGAATATCGCGTCTAAGGTCTTCAAGGTGCCCCTCGAGAGCCACGTATAATATATGCTCGAATAAATTACTCGATATTTTTTATTCACCTCTGAATAATACACGCAACGCTGTTGCTGTACCTGCCGTCATTTTTAATATCTGTACCAGTTTATATTATATCCCTGAATCATATCAAGTTTATACATCTCATATTATAAAAATATCTGGATAATGATAATTTAAATTCTCGTTTGCCGAAATGATTCATCGATTGTCACTCGCCAACGTGCCAAAGAGCCATCACTCTATGAATCGTTATCGACAATTCGTTTCACAATTAAAATGAATTGAATATGAAAGGAAACTAGGCACTTCGTCTTCTAAACAGCGATGTTTTGACCATCGAGTTAGATTAATGTACAATGCGAGAATCGTTGCAACGATCGCGTATTAGACTTTATTTTAGAGAAAAAGACACTTTGCCGATCTAACGGAAATAGTAAGCGCCAGGTCGCGTTGGAGAAACGTAAGAAAGTTATTTTAACGGTTTTAATTGCATGTGGCATTTGTATCGTGTCAATTATATACGTATTATCATACTTGTGATTTGTGATTGTGACATCTTTTGTACATAAGATATATGTATAATGCGGAATATATTATATATAGGATTCGCGATTGAATATTAAATATCCATGTAACTATATATATATATATATATATATATTGTGTCTTTTTAATTTTATATTTTTATTATATATAGGATTCGCGATTGAATATTAAATATCCATGTAACTATATATATATATATATATATATTGTCTGTCTTTAAATTTATATTTTAATAATCACTTTACATCTCTCTCTCTCGTCGCGTGGATATTCTTTACACGCGTGCGATACTGCTCGATCCTCGTGCGCGCGAGAAATGTATTATTTTTAACAGGCGTGCGATAGAGATAAGAGAAAATTGTTGAGATAAAAATTATGCGTGTTAACGAGCGATTCTCAACATTGTCGTCACGAGCGATCGGCGCATTTGAAAGTTCTTCGAAAGGTAGCATTCGTAGTGTTAAGAAATTTTTTACTGCAAACTTTGATGAAAAGTCTACGATGTGATAAATCTTAATCGATCTCGCGTCTATCTATATACACATATCGCGTGCTATGGATGCGTGCGTGCGTGTATGTATATATATACATATTATGTTTTTACACGCGTGCACGTATGCGCATTTTTTATGTGCGTTATCATCAATATTACATTAACGATCATCGTTTGAAGACCACTGTTGCGGCATTGAAATTTTATCGCGATAAGTAAAAGACAAGACGTGGTGCCGTTAATTAATGTATGTGTATTCGGTGCCTCTCGTATAATGAGAAATTTGTCCATTCTAAGATAGATAAAATGATATCGGGGGATTGAGATAGAAGGAGATCCTGTTTTCTTCCTAGATCGGCCAAATTTCCCACTGTGCTTCGTTACGAGAATGATACATCGTTCGGTGCGCAAAAGACGCGTATATTTCCTTTTGTGTATCGCTGTAAAATGATATACTTGAAAATATTCTCTCAAACGCTTGTTGTGGGTCTCTTATATGTATCGTTAATATTATTTGTATTCGCCAAACTATCTTTTTGCTTCTGTTTACTCTTGTAATTTGCGTCTAACAGTTAGTGCGGTTGCGTTAAAATTACCGGTAAGCGAGAATATTAGGCACCACAGGTCTGATTAGCCAGATATTAATTCGTGGTTACAAATACACAGTATATCCACGAATGATATAGAAAAAAACCGTGAGATATATATATATATATATACATATTAATTGCAATTAATTTACTATTAATGTACGTATAAAGGTTGATATTCTTTCTCGCGGGATCGGCGCAATATATTTCACGTTGATTTTTACGTGTGTTTTGGAAGATTAATGTATAAATATATACAGCAAAATTTGCCACGAAAATATTATCATATATATTGTACATCGCGCGTTATTTTGTTTCAAGGTGCGATTTTATGTAGATAAAAAATTTTACATAAACTTTACATATATACATATATATATATAGTTGCTGTGGCGCGAAAGGAGGAATTTAAAGTAGCAGAGACAATCGATTTCATTATTGAGATGCTTGTAAATACAAATGTAACTAAATTTTAAGGAACGATGAGACAAAGAGCGATATTTATTTCGGAAGGAATAGTGATTGTGATCGTGTTATTTATTATTAATCCCAAGTAAATGTGCGTAAGAGGACACACACATTGAGAAAAAAAATTGTAAATAAATATATTACTACGAGAGATGTTGAACGTGTGTTTGTATCCCTGTCTGACTTGATATAAACTTTATAAACTTTAAACGGCATGCTTCATTAGCCGAATTTGTCACGTGACGCTCGATGTGAATCTAACGAACAAATTCAGAAGATTAATGTATAAATATATATACAGCAAAATTTGCCACGCAAATTATCATATATATTGTACATCGCGCGTTATTTTGTTTCAAGGTGCGATTTTATGTAGATAAAAAATTTTACATAAACTTTACATATATACATATATATATATAGTTGCTGTGGCGCGAAAGGAGGAATTTAAAGTAGCAGAGACAATCGATTTCATTATTGAGATGCTTGTAAATACAAATGTAACTAAATTTTAAGGAACGATGAGACAAAGAGCGATATTTATTTCGGAAGGAATAGTGATTGTGATCGTGTTATTTATTATTAATCCCAAGTAAATGTGCGTAAGAGGACACACACATTGAGAAAAAAAATTGTAAATAAATATATTACTACGAGAGATGTTGAACGTGTGTTTGTATCCCTGTCTGACTTGATATAAACTTTATAAACTTTAAACGGCATGCTTCATTAGCCGAATTTGTCACGTGACGCTCGATGTGAATCTAACGAACAAATTCACGATACTACTGCGTTTAAATACAAGATTGCCATAAAGTCGCAAAGATTTTTCGAGACTTGTCTCTTTGCTCTATAAAAAAAAAATGAATGTAACACAGGCCGCACCGCCAAGAGGACGACGCGCTTACACGAGAGGAAGATCCATACCGAATGCGCAACGCGTTACAAACATATTTCCGAAATATCGTAAGTGATATCCTGCAAGAATTAACACCGATTGCGGACGTAGAATTCAGTTCGCGCAATATATTTCGACGAAATTTATTGAATATATATATTTGCGAGATAAAATCTTGACATACAATTCCAAGATAAAAAAAGAACTATCGTTGCATAATCGAGAATTAGTACGCTCGACTTTTAACAATGAATTTGTTCGATCAAAGTCGACTATAGCCGCGATTTTTGGCCATTTTTGTTAATGAAACAATTCTTACGCTTTTGTCTCGCGCCATTCGCGAATGTAGAATTCAATTCTGGCTTCCCGAGTGTCCCGACGAGCTCCGGAGCCGCAAACTCAAAGACGCCAAGATATAATCGCAGAGAGAATTACATCTCTACGTCGTCGTACTTGCCGAGCACGTCTCGTTGTAGTATAGGGTAAGTGCCTGCGAATCTCTATCCTATTCTTTTACCGTACAAAATAATTTTAGAATCTTCTTGAAATAAAATATGTTTGATATCTCGTTAAGTATATATATGGATTTTCTTTCCGTATAATTCCATTAAAAATGCGCAATTTTATTTCGTAGATGTTGTCATAGAAAATTGGACATTATTAACTAAATTACTTTTTTTAGAACTTTGATTATAGACAATATTTATAAACCAATCCAGTTTTTAAAAGCAATTTATATAGTTTTATTTCTGATATCATTTCTGAGCGTGCAGATATTAAAAATGTAATTTCTCGATATCTACAATATTAGGTCGATCAATCCGAAATCGACACCATACGGAACATCCAGCAATGCGGATTCTTGGGTGGTGATCGGTGAGCAAAGGTTAAATAATAAAACTAGAGAGGCATCCTCGATTTTATTCACCGATATATATTTCTGATAGCGTTAACAGCTGGCCGAGGAGACGCCAGGAACGAAGTTGGCTTGGCAGCGATAGATCTTCAATACCCGTACTTGATCCTTTGTCAAATTAGTGATTGCCAAACATACGTGAATACCTTGACGAAAATTAACATTCTCGACCCAATAGAAGTAGGCATTATTATTTAATTAAATTAATTTTACTAGTGTCTCATATTGATATTAATGAATTTATAAATATGTTATTTTTCATTTGATATTAAAATTCATTATAAAATAAAAAATAAAAAATGAAACTAACTAAGAAGAAAAAGCTAAAGATATATTTTGCTATAATATAATTTTGACTTTCTAATAAGATTCGTCCAATAGATGAAGCAATATTCAATGAAAAATATTCGTCCCGCATTTTTTTTATCTTTAAAGATACTAATGCCCGAGACAATGTGCGAGCGTGGTAATAAACTGTACAAATCGATCAAAGAGAAATTTAATGCTCTTAACATCACACCGATTTCACGAATACACTTCAACGAGTCGACCGGCATGGAACGCGTGCGAACTCTATGCGCCAGAGAATACTCGACTGTAGAATTGATAGTAAAACAAAAGTAACGTTACAAAAATTGATCATACACACATAAATAGTGAACAATACAATTAGAAAGAGAAAGAAAGGATATTATTCGTTTTTCGTCCTGTTTAGATATTACGCTTTGGCTGCGGCCGCAGCACTGCTAAAATACGTGGAATACGTCCAACATATGGTTTATGCTCCAAAATCGGTGCGAATAGAGTTTCAAGGATCACCGAATACTACTATGATTGGTAAGTTATTTAAAGATATATATATATTTTTTTTTCTTAAATAATTTAAATATAATAATAATATATATATTGCAACGAGAAAGACAATTTTTTCCGCGGTAAACTACACCACGGTTGATATTCGCACAGATATCGAGAGCGCACGTAGTTTGGAACTGGTTGTCTCGCAGTCCAAACATACCATCGTCAGTCTGCTGGGCACCATGGACCGCTGCCTGACTCCTATGGGTAGAAGACTCTTGCGCGCCTCCATCCTTCAGCCCGGCTGCGACGAACGTCTGATCCTGGATCGACAGTCCTGCGTAGCGGAATTGGTGGCCAATCATTCTCTATGCATCAGTCTTCAGGTATAACGGATTGCATCTCAAAAGGGAGCTGTTCAACAGACACAATTTTTGCACGCCGCGCGTTATGTGAGATCTGTATTTTGCAGCCGGTGGTACAACGCCTCTTCGGCACTGATCGCTTGCTGACGTTAGCGATTAAACCTTTACACGTCAACGACATACAAAACGCAGAGCGAAACCTAAACTACGCGTTGCTCTTGAAGAGCTGTCTGGACACTGTTCCGGAATTGGAAGCAATCCTCGCGACCGGTATTCATCCATTTTTTGCGAAAATGCGAAAGGTTTTAAATTAAAAATTGTAATTTCATAATTTATATAGTATTATTTATATTCTTATCGATATGATAATTTTTCCCTCGAACTTGCAGAATTTAGGAAATTTGGAATTCCGAGTTATGAAAGATAAGATTTTGACATTGATACACGCGGACGCGAGATTCGTGAAGGGATGCACTTCCCTGAGTATGCAACGATGCTTCGCTATAAAAGCTGATATCAATGAATTATTGGACGTCGCTCGGCAAATTTATTGCGAATTAATCAGCGACATGAAAAGTATATATATATACATATAAATATATTAAAATTATTTGAAAAATTATATTTCTCATTTGACGAATTCGTTTAAATAGATCTGGTAGAGCAATTAGCCGTGAAACATAAGCTACCATTATCCTTGGAATACAACGCGAACTTGGGCTACCATATAAACGTTGTGATACCGCAAAATGCGAGCATGATAATCTCGGACTTGCCAGCGGAATTTATTCAAGTAATTTATCGCTTGATATCGTTTATGGAATTTAATTTTAATTGTACCTTCAATGTCTTATTTATGCGTAGGCGCGAAAAAACAGGAGATCCTTTACGATGACCACAACAGGGCTATTGACGTTAACTAAACAGTGCAAGAACGCTTGCGAGGAGATTTACGTGATGAGTAACACGTAAGTTGATCGTCGAATAGATCCCCGTATTAATAATAAATAGTAATAATTTGTAGATTGTTGACTAATTTACTGGAGGATATAAGACAGCATGTCGGCTGCTTGTTTCAACTGAGCGCCGACGTGGCAGAATTAGACTTGATACTTTCGTTGGCGCAAATCAGCAGTAATCCGGAATACGTAAGACCAACGTTCGATTCGAAGTTAGAACTGGTAAACTCGTTTCATCCCATTATGGAGTTATTTAACAGAGATTTACCCATAGCCAACGATGTGGTAAGTGTTAGAATAAATGATTCGTGTGAAAAATCTACCATATTTTCTTACCTTATTCTCTAACGCGCAGAACGCGTCAATTGCGTATAATTTTCACCTGATAACTGGACCGAACATGAGCGGCAAGTCCACGTACCTAAAACAGATCGTTCTACTTCAAATTATGGCACAGGTAACTTCATTTCGCTTCGCTTTAATTTTAATCGTATGTAATATTTAATCGTGAATATCTCTTATATTAACCACAATCAACACAAAAAAATTTATTTTGTGGCTTTAAAGTTCCATCAATATATATTTAATTTTAATTGCAATAAAACTTCTCTCCAACACGTCAAATATTTAGTAGCTACAAGACGGTAAAATACATTAAAATATGACAAAAAATTTAATATTAAACGTTTTATTAAACGTTAAATTTTATTAAATATATATATTTTTATAAAAAGTTATTTTTTATTAAATATATTACTATGGAATGTTATTAATTATTTTACGACATGTTTATTATAAACTGATATATTTCATCTCTCCAACATATTTCTTGACTTATTACACGTGTTTATTACAGATCGGTTCTTACGTGCCGGCGATGAAGGCAACGTTTCGCATTGCGGATCGCATACTTTGTAGAATGAGCTCTCGCGACGACGCCGAGCTCAATGCATCCGCCTACGTCCTCGAGGTAATCACCCGATAAATGTATAATTAATCTCACGAATGTATCCGTCTCCCTTCGAAACACGTGAAAGTACTACTTTATATTCAATATTTTTTTCTAATTTTTCTATTAAAGGTGTGTCCACGACACACATAGTGTTCTCAAATGATCTGAATATCAACCGTGTTCAATGTTGCCCGACTCCGATCAACGAGAGAATTGGCACTCTCGATATAAAAATCAAATTGGCAAGCAATTTTATATTAGCAACATTCGCTCGTTTCTAGATGAAGGAGGCACAATACATTCTGCAATCCGTCACACCCAGGTCTCTCGTGGTTCTAGACGAGCTCTGCAGGCATACCACTGTCGAGGAGGGTTCAGCCATCGCTTGGTCGATATGCGAGAAATTATTGCTGACGACTGCGTTCACGTTTGCCGCAACGCATTTTTTGCATCTCACCGCGCTGAGAAACATGTATCACAACGTGACAACGTACGTGAAAATCTTGCGTAAATATATAATCCGCTTAGCAAAGGGGAAGAATCCATTCACGTTATTACTACGGTTTCAGTCATTGCTTCGAGACAAAAACCGCGGAAACGGAAGAATCGAACGAGCTACATCTAATATACACTCACAAGTTGAATCCCGGAGTAGGACCTACCGATCATTATGGCATTTCTTTAGCGGAAGTATCTTCTCTACCGAAATGCGTTACGACTAAAGCGCGGGAGTACGCGTCTCGACAATCTACCGCACAGGTACTCGAATCGTGAATTCACAAATGTTTTTAATTGTTACAAAATTATTAAATTTCCCTTAAATATTTTATTCTTTCTCTAGAATAATCTCGGATCCGTGGTAAGTTCCCCATCGTGGAAGAAATCGTGTTACGACGCGGTCGTTCAGTTGCGCGCGCTGTTGGAGAACAATCGTTTCATTTTCGCAAATATCATAAATATCTTGAGGCAACTGGATCTGGGCGAGCAACGTAAGAAGCAACTGCTTGCAGAAGGAGCACAAATTCCCGTAAAATCCACAAACGTCACGGAAGAACGTGAGAAACGCGAGGAGGATAAAAACTTGGCATCGAACGATAATCCAACGACGGTAACCAACGACAACGCAATATCGTTAATCGAATTAGCGGAACGAAATAAAAGTCAACGAGAGTACCAAGCGGAGGACGAACCAATGGAAATTGTGAAAACTGATCGGAATCGGAAGATAGATTTGTCGATTCACGGAGCTATCGTAAATCGCGCGACACTTTCGTCACAGCCGGAGACAACTGATGAAGATTCGAGGATCGTTAATTCGCGATTTCCGAATCCTAGCACGTCCCATCCGAACTTGACAAAGACCAAGTCGTTTATCGAACAGCCGATCCTTGACGAAAGTCCTATCACTATCGATCCGCGATTTTACGTTTGCACGTCCTTTGAGACAACGACCAGCCAGAAAACGACATTAGTAGTCGGAGAATTAAAAGGACAGATGGAGATAATACTACCACATGGTAGCTTAGGATCGAACGTCGCTTTAAACTCAATAGTGCCTTCTCCGTCAGCATCTTCTAGATCCTCTCAATATCATGATTATTGTTTATCCGAGGGAGAATTCGACATTGCTCTGCCGTCTTCTCAATCAACTTTGACTGATATAACAAAAATGAAGCGATCTAAAGAGATTTCGCAACGGCTCGAAAACGATACTTTCGACGAAAATACTTTCTTGGATATGCAAGAATCATTGATCCTTACTCCGGACGATGACGTAATAATGTCACCGGTGTAATTTATTTTGCATTATAAAATTATTTACTTAATCATTAATTTGTATTTATATAAGAAAAATTAAACAATGCTTTTTTCCTTTTAATTATTTTATGTATTTTTCGTTCTTATCTTTCTTATCGTTATTGTATTTAGGTAAAGAAAAATGTTTTCTCATTTTAATTTTCTTCTTGTATTCGCTTGCAAATGCAAGAATGCAAAAGGCGAGATTCACCCTTGAGCAAGCTACAAACATATGAATATCTCTTCTCTTCGCAACGAAATTGACAAGATATATTGGCTCCATTTTCGAGCAAAGACATACAAAATTGTAAGATTGGATAGCTTTGCGTAAAATAAAAATGACGAGGCGATAATGATCGTCTCGAACACATAATTGCTTCGATAATTGCTTCGACCATCGCAAAAAAAAAAAAAAAAGAAAAAAGTCAAAGACGAAAATTAACCTAGATAACGAGACTTGTCCGCGTAAAAAGAATGTCCAGTGATTTGCTATCGGAATCGGTGAATATGTTTCTGGACGATTTCGAGACCGGCCTCTGTCTACCCATTCTCGTGGTTATGGTGCTTTGCACCGCTCAGTTTGTATTTAATCATGTCTTCGGTATTGGATACACGATTTATCAGAGCATAAGGAAGCCGATAGCGGAGGGAGAGGCGCAAGAAGCCACGGATATGATGGGAAAACTGAAAGGTCAGCATGTCCCTTGCAATAGATTATTACATATGAGAGCTATTTCATTTAGAACTCGTCCAGAAAGTTTTCTTTCTATAAATAGATTTAAATCATATATAATGTAAAAAATATAAAAAAACACATCCGATTAAGAAATATAATAGATACACATTTTTTAAATATACTCGACATAGATATGACAGATCAAAGCTTTATTCTTGTCACTAATAAATTCGCAATTTCTATTTAGAGCAGGAATCCGTTGATTAATGACAAATCTCTGTTCTAAACTCGCCAGGAATGCTGAACACTCTAGGTATCGGAAAAACCGATACGGCAAATGTGACTGCGATTAAAAATCCGCTATCATCTGTGATCCAATCTCGAGAGGAAGAGTGGGACTACTGCGAGGATGATGTTGAATAAGATAACAAAACTGTTCTCTGTGTTGTTGTAAATAAAACGCTTAATAAATAAATAATATTATCTTGCTCTCTTATTTTCATTGTGTAATCAGTTGAAAATATTTACTTAAACAATACATTGAGAATGTATGAAAGACAAAATATATATACTTTAAGATTACAATCGATCAGTTAACAGTAACGTGAGAGATAATCGAACAACCGATTAACTGTGTGTGATGTCGCGTATCTTCGATAAAAGCGACCGCTTAACGAACCCGCATCGTCTAAGGCCCAAGTTTTGAAACGCGTGGAAGCGAGGGACACCAGTCGGGGACATTTGAGAGTGGGTCAAGGCAGACAACTCTTCAAGCTCTCAGCTTCCATGTACGTCGCGAGTAAAGCTCAATCGATCGGTTCGATCGTGTTATAACTATGGAAAGGGAAAAATGTCAAGCTGCATTGTCCGATAAAGAACACGCTCTTTCAATCATTATTACTCTCTTTAGGAAAAAGCTAGGAAACTATCGAAAGACGCTCGATCAATCGACCGCGTAAAGTGAATGAATTATATATAGTATTAACATCATACTATTGTACAAAAAAATTTTTTACTTATTAAGAAAGTATAATATAAATAATTTATAATGACTTTTTTATATTATTTTAGAATAGTTTGCGTAAGAAAATTTAAAAACTTTATTTTTTTATTTCAGTCTAATAATTTTACGTCTCTGTATTCTCGAGAGAGGTGGCAAGATAGCAGAGCCTAAGCTCGCTAAGCCTGGCAATCTCGATGTTTTGCGAAGCCTTGCAAGTAAGCGGTGAAAAACGTGTTACGTATAAAATATCGTCTCGTTATTGAGGCAAAAGTGATTTGCTGCACATTGACACCGTCCTCGGGAAAATTGCATTTACGCGCGACTGACGGATTATTTATTATTAAGACGCGAATTACATAGCCGACACAATCAATTGCGTTCATTCGCATTCACTCGGGCAAATATATCATGTGTATATATGTGTGTGTGTACATGTGCGTGCGCGCGCATAGAGATCCGCTGTTAATTTTTCTTGGGATTCCTTCGAGGTCAAAGCGTGTTACGCTTGTATAACTGACTTATTACATTGAGCAG